AAATAAAATAAAAAATAAAAAAGGATATGATCGAAAGATTTTCTTTTAAGAAAATAGTTATAGTGAAATATATTTTTGCAAAGACTGGCCCCGTTTGGGGACTTACTTTTTTAGCCAATTAGCCAAAAAGTTACTAAATTAGCCAAAAAAACCAACAACTCATACCAAAAAGTCAAAGATTCTCTTTTCTCTCTACATTTTGCACATCTTTTCGTAATTAGCCAAAAAATCATCCCAAACATACACATTTTTTTTACCTACCTTTTTAGTCAAATAGCCAAAAAGTTACTAAATTAGCCTGTTCCCAAACGAGGCCAAAAAACATACATAAAATGAAAATCATTTTTATTTTTCTTTTCTTTCCCTCTCCTGAAAAAAATGCGACGAATCAAAAGGACAAAGCTCCAAGACAGTTAAACAACAATCAAATTCATAGGTACAAGGAGTTAATGTATACTGTCTCATGTTCACAGTGGGCATCCACAACCAGAAATTTAAATTCGAGCAAAAAAAGACCATAATTTATGTTTTTTCAATAGCAATTAACCTTAGTGAAATGGAGTTTTATATATCTAAGAAAGGCACAAAAGGTCAGTACTCGCACGATAATGCATTCAACAAATGTCACATTCACAAAAAAGGAGGAATTAACTGAACATCAATTCTTTTTGCGCAAAACCTGCAAAAGAAAATAACACAAACAAATAAAAGAGACAATCAGAATCCATATATTGTGCTTTTTAAGTGCAAATGTCGACTAATTTAACACAAGGACAGCCCTTGCAAGTTGCAACAATTATTCCTTCTGTTCTGTATATCCCCAAATGTCTAGAATGTCAGTATAAAAAATTCACAAGAATCATGAAGTAACAATGACACCTCAATAGGTTATTTCCAATATTTATGTCTCAATTCTACACACGTCTACTACGAAGCACCGACACATCCCCAGGGCCTAGTGTTGGACACGTGTTGGACATGGACACTCTATGGACACGTGTCCGACACTCTCTCTAACGTGTCCGACACTCTCTCTAACGTGTCCCTTTTTTTTCTTTTCTTTTTTTGAATTTTTCCAATCGGACACGCCGTGGACACGCGATGACACTTTCCAAATACGCGCGAGATGGATCAAAGTGTTAGAATTTACCATAAACCTACCACCACTACCACCTCACCTACTCCACTAAACCTAACCCACTACACCACTACCACCTCACCTACTCCACTAAACCTAACCCACTACACCACTACCACCTCCACTTCACCTACTCTCCACCTACTCCCAAACACACTCCTATATAATAGGAATCCTTGTAATTGTAATATCTACACAAATCAATATCAATCAATAATACAAATCCCTACCCTATTGGAGAGAGAGAGAGAGAGAGAGAGAATAGATCGATTGAAGGAAGAAGCCCTAACATGTTCAAAAGAGATCAATCAAAGAAGCCCTGAGGTATTCTTCTTCGTCTTCTCTGTTCTTCTTCTTCACTTTGTCTTCTCTATCCTTCGTTTTCTCTGTTCTTCTCTTTGTTTTCTTCTTCTTCTCCTCCCTTTTCCGTTTCTACTCTTCGTCTTCTCTGATTTTCTCTCCCTTTTCTGATTTCACCTCTCTCCCCTCCTTCATTTCTCTTTTTTTATTTTTTTTTGTTCTTCCTCTTTTCTAATTTCACCCCCTCTTTCGTTTCTCTTTTCTTTTTTCTTTTTCTTTTTCTTTTTTTATGTTTCTCCCTCCTTTATTTTCTTGATTTCTCCCGTCCCTTTTTTTTCTTTTTTCTTTTTTTATCCTTATTTTTGTTAAACCTAAAATTCATAGAATAAATTATTTTTATTTAAAAAACTCAATTTTTATTAAAAAAATTTAGGAAATATTTTTATTAATTTTATTATTATTGTAATTGTATAGGATTTTTTTTATTTATAATTTTAGACATGTAATAAATAAATAAAATTATATATATTAAAAGTGTCCCAAGCCTGTCGTATCTCCTATTTTTTGAAAATTAAAATTAAAAGTGTCCCAAGCCTGTCGTATCTCCTATTTTTTGAAAATTTGCGTATCCGTGTCCGTGTCCGTGCATCATAGCACGTCTACAATCTAAAGCCTTCGCCTTCAGAATAACAAAAATCAAGTATACAAGTGAAATAATTGCACAGAAAAACAATAATACAATCGCCATTCCTGAAAAGAATTACCTTGCTGCTGATACTTGCATTCTGTATCTTTCCTCTCTTCACTGTGCGTTTTGCGTTTTGTGTCTTTCCTCTCTTCACAGCGCGTCCCTGAAACTCATGAATTAACATTAATTGATAGTTACAACTTACAAGAAACGGATAATATCACACAGCTCTAATAACATATTAACAATAGAAAGAGAATTTCATTAACCTGATGAGATGGAACACCCTGGACAAGTGATGGCGGATGAGCTTGCAGCTGTGGCGATTCTCTAGAATTGTTGGAGACGTCCGCAACCTATAAAGAATAAACATGGGTTGGTGTTTAACACAACAGGCAATAATTTCTAACCAAATGCAAGAAATCTAAAATGTTACCTGTCCAGCATGCAATAGCTCGGATGGTGAACCTTGCTCATCAGGGAACTTCTTCTGCATGTTCAACATCATTGACATCATACTGGACATTTGGGATGCCATCTGTGCACACGTCTGCTCCATGGAAACCATTTTCTCTTTCATATCATGTACCTCCGCATTAGCCGTAGAGACCATTTTCACAGCTTCAGCACGACTAGGTTTTGGGCCCGAGAGATCAGAAGGGGCAGGGCCCAACCCATAAGTGCGAACACGGCCATGTCTATCTTGTCCCATTACTTGAGATAAGATGTCATCTTCAACAGTACCATTTTGTGAGGTCTCCTTCTGTTGAGCTGCCCGTTCACGAAGTTGCGACTGCAATAAAGAACCAGACATTTAATAAATTATACAACTGATCAAGTAAAATTCCACTGCATATTGAAAAAGAAACAGAAAGCAGCTAAACAAAAACATACAATTAACACTGAAGATTCCTTATTTACAGGTTGCCCATCTTTCCGTGTACGAGTCAATATGAATAGCTCTGCCCGGGATGGCTCCTTCTTATCAGGCCTCTTCACACGCTGTACTTATTGAACAACATATACTAGTGCATTACTACATGAATGCCAAAACAAGTCAACAACCATGCAATTCTAAAGTTCCAAATGCATATATGAAGCAACCTGTTCTTCGCGCACTTGTGCAAAGCTCTTTCTGCCTGTAGTGTGGGTTATCTTCTGTTGTGCGCGACTGGCCTTATTTGTAACACTGCGTTCCTATAATGCAGCATAAGAAATGGACAATTAAACATGTTTTGCATCGTGTTGGCCTGCATAATTGCAGAATGTAACCCTACAATTATTACTCAATACACAACCTTTGCCTCTTTTGAGTTCCAAAATGAAATGAGGATCCGCCACTGATCTCGAATGACCCTCTCATCACAGTCTGCTAGCCGCTCCTCGTCAGTCTTATGAGTATTATAACGATTAGCCTTCAACTCAGCTTTCCAGTCCTTCCATTTTTTGCCGATGGACTTCAAGACCCAACTTTTACTTTTTGGGTCAATCTCAAATTTTGACTGCGTCATATGTGGGAAATGTGTAATCACCTCACATGAAAAAAAAAATATATTAATATAAACAAATATATAAAAGTTTTCCGATACCTGAACTTGTTGCCACATCTTCTCCTTGATCTCATCTGGTAATGCCCGCCACTCAACGTAATTAAGGGGTGCCATGTGCCCATTTCGTGCTATGGTACCGAGAAAGTTGGTGAGTTTGGGTGCCTCAAGGCCAATGGGCTGCCCCAGCTCATTGACGCTAACAGATATCTTACCTTCCATATTCCACACATCGAGGCACCGAGTTGGGCCACGACCACGAGTCCTCCTGATGCTGCTAGAATCTATCCAACCAAAAAAAAAAAAAACACACACACACACACACACACAAATGAAAGAAAGAAAAGAATAAACATGTATATAAACAAGTCATATTCATAACTGAATATGACAAGCCTGACCCTGGACATAACATACTTGCATTTCCCATATCCAAGCCAGTCTGCGGCTGGCTAGGGCTCAAACCTTGCTGGGGCTGATGTGGCTGGACGTTGCTTACAGGGGGGTGATGAAACTGCATTTGGCTCGGGCCTATTTGCTCCTGCTGCTCATGGCTGGTGTAGTCAGTCATAGGGCCCACTGGGCACCTAGGCGGCCCACGCTTGCTGCACCTTATCATGGACTCCACAGGAGGCGGTGAACAAAATTGTCCTTCATAAAAGAGATAAGGGATAATTATTAGGAAAGTATTAGACTGCGTATTGAATCTGTATTGCCTATAAAGCAGGCATGCACCAATGCATTTTGGCGATTCTCTAGAATTGTTGGAGACATCCGCAACCTATCAAGAATAATATATATATTATGAGACCTGATTGAGACCCCCACCACCCCCACCCCCACCACCCCTACACACACGTGGGGGTTGGTGATTGGAGGAGGAGAAAAAAAAAAAAAGCTAGCCAATCACAGGCCAGTGGGGGTCGTGGGGGTCCGAATCATTTTTCAACAGATAAAACACAAAGACTAGACCATATCAAAGAAATTGCTTCTAATGGTTAAACTAACTTAAGTTTTCTTATTTTTTAAATTTATTTATTTATTTATTTTGGATAAATAACTTCGTTAAGATTCTACATAGAGAAAAACAAATATTGGTTCTAGATGTGACCCAACTCCATCCAGTGGCACAAGCCAGCATCAAGGGAATGTGAAGACACGTATTCAGATGGTATAGAAACAGATATTGAGTGCTTAGGTCTTAGCTCTAGTATTATCTAGAGTAAATTTGAGAAGCAAGGACAGTGCCTATTTGGTGCTCTAAAAAGCAAAGATAGCACTTTGCAATGCTCTACAAACTACAGCCTAAAAGCTTCTTTGAAGCAGACCTTGTATAATGCTTAAAAAGCAAGGGTAGCACCTGTACGGTACTCTCAAAGTAAGGCACCACTTATTTGATGCCAACAAAGAAAAGGCAAACCTTGCACACTCTAAATGCAGAATCAACACCTATAGGGTTTTAAGGTAACAACAGAAAGCAGCAAGTTTGATTTTGACAAGTTAGAATGTTCATACCACATTTAGTCCGATGAAAAAGGTGAAATGCTAAGGCGATAGACCTGTCATCTTCTCAACATAATTACTTCTTTTTAGTTCAACATCAGCCAATAAAAATTATTACTGTTGATAATTTTTAGAATTATTTAAGGCATCGAACCCAAAACCAATTTTCCTTAGGTAGAGAGGCGCTACGCTAGATTATATGAACCAAGTTAGAAGCAATGTGGGCCAAGTCTTCAAGAAGTTAAGGATCAAACAGGTGATAGAACTCAGTTATTTTAAGAAACAAAAACTAGTCATATTCAATGCGATGAGCCTAACATATCATACCTGCACTTCCTGTTTCCAGGACAACCTGTGGCTGGGAAGGCTGGGCAAGCTGACCGGGCAAGTCCTCCTGCTGAGATGACATGGCTGGGAACATTTGGGCTAGGGGCTGTCAGATCCTGCTGCTCATATCTGGCGTAGTCAGTCATAGGGTCCACTGGAAACCTAGGCCCATGATTGCTGCACCTTATCATGGGCTCCACAGGAGGCGGTGAGCAAAAATGTCCTTCATAAAAGAGAAGTGTACAATTATTAGGAAAGTAGTACAATACAAAATATTGAATATGCATTTCATTACAAATGAGGCATTCATTCATGCATTTGAGTAACGGTCAAATAACACAGAATAGGCTATATATAGAAATTTGGCAGATTTAACAAAATTTCTCAGTTCTCTTTAATAATAATAATTATGATTATTATTTTAATATTTAGCTGTAGGTAGCTTAAACAGGCTAAAATGTTTCCAAACCTAGTTGAGAGATCCTACACAGAGCAAAGCATACTAAAACATGGTTAGAGCTGTGAGCTAACTCCATCCATATGCACAAGGCAGCATCTAGCGAATGTTAAAAGACCTCTAATTTCAGATGGCACAGAAAAAGATATCGTGTTTAGGCCTAGTGTTATCTATAGTGCATTGAAATGAAGGGGTACTTGATGCTCTTAAAAAAAAAAAAGACTTCACTCTTCAACACTCGAACCTGCCAAACCTGAAGATTTTTAGAAGCCGAACCTATATAATGCTTGAAAAGGAAGGTTAGCACCTTTATGGTGCTTTAGAAGCAAGGCAACACCCATTTGATGCCTGAGGAAGCAAGGGCAGCCCCTGCAAGCTCTAAAAACAGAAGCAACACCTAACTAGAGTTTAAGGGCAAGGGATTGCTTGCGTGTTGCTTGAACAGGAACAGCAATTATAGAAGGCTTTGCAAGAGAAAGCAGCAAGTTCGATGGGCTAAAATAAACAGAATATTCATACCCCATTTAAAGGTTAGCAACTTAGCATGAACACCACCATATGATAAGGTGACGACCAATCATAACCTCAACATTAGTTACTTCTTTTCTTCCCTTATGGCAAACCATTAGCTGATAACAATTATGTGCATTTCTATTGATGCAAAAGTATTATTTGATGAAGGAAATCCAGTAATTGAAGTGGGTATTCTTGCTAGCATCATTTAACACACAAGATGCATCTTGAGCATTAGAAGACAGACAGCATCCCTATACAGCGTAAGCATGTTGCAAAGCATCTTGATGTGGTGTGATGCACTTGCTTGTCATTAAATACATAAGGCCTTCGGCCTAGGTCGACCCAAATGAATCTGAAAACAAAGCATACCTGCACTACCAACATTTCTACCAGCCTGTGGATGGGAAGTCTGCTGCTCTCCAGACCGCAGCTGGCACTGGCACTGGTGCTGACAAGGCATTTTCTGCTGCTGATATGACATGATGTAACTCCGTGAAAAGTGATAGGGCTGATGTTGGCTCAGGTCCATCTGATGCTGCTGCTGGTGTCTGGGGTAGTCAATAATAGAACCTGCAAGGCTACTGTGCCCATGTGTGCTGCACCTCATAGTAGACTCCATTGGAGCTTCATGTGAATATCCTTCATAAAAGAAACACATGTATAACTGTAAAAAGTAGCAGCAGATGGCATTAAATCTGCCTAATTACACAGTAGAGATGCACTGATGAATTTGAATGACAGGCAATATAACTTAGAGACTAAGATAAGCATGGAACTTGGAGTTCCCTATTACGATTTATCAAGAATAAAAGAAAGAAATGCAACCAAGATGTTTTCATCCAGATCTCCATTATTTTCTCTGAACTATAACATTTTGCATGACAGATTTATCAGATATTAAACTGATAAGAACAGATATCTACTGTTAATTTTAGATAAAGGGCCTCATACCTACCATTCATTCTGATTTTCTATCCTCTGATTGATCATGCCCTTTGATGGCTTAGGAACATCATTCAGCATTTCAGCATTTTTTTTTTTTTTTTTTTTTTTTTGCAGAGGTAGGTGTAGATGCATGTAGAAGGACATGAACAATGAAATACTTGCGAGCAAGAATTTACAATTATTAAAGAAAGCAAACTGTGTTCTGCTTAGAATATAGTTTTCTTAGTGTGTCATACTTAAAATAATTCTTAGATGGTTCCTCTGCAGAATGTCTGAAACAGAGTATATGCATACCCTACTTATATGGGACGAGATTTAATTTTTCCCTACCTTGCCTAAACATAGTTTGAACAGCTAATTAAGATTATTAATCATTATGTATATTTCCAGACAGCTTTCTCTAACATTTGATTTAATCATGATGTCAAACATTGTGACAGGCACAAAATGCAGGAAGGGGTTGCTCAATCAATGACTTGGACAACGTTAATTGCTTCATCATATTATTATTATTATTATTTTCTCTTCAGAACATGGGTAATTTCTGAGCCATTTGGTAGGCTAGTGCGTAGTCAGTAACAATTCTCTTCCAGCCACAGTATTCTGCAGCCACTTTTGCAGGGATAACAGTACAGCTAAAAATGAAAAATATTACAATGAGTGAATTTCCCCCAAGTCCAGCAGCCAAAATTCTATTCTATCTGCTAATTTGAAGTCAACAGAAGTCATAGATCTGAGGATTATACCAAATTAAATAGTAATAAATCAGAATTTATATTGAAGAACTATGAAGCACGGACACCTCTCCGGAGGTCGCGTACAGGTGACTAACATGGACACGCTCCGGACACATGTCGGACATGCAGGAAAGAGTAGACACGCTAGGACACTTTGGACATGCTATGGATACGTTGGGACACGTTGAGGACACACAGGAGACACGCTGAGAACGCGCAAGGGACACGTTGAGGACACGCTAGGGACACGCTGCGTACTATTTTTTTTTTAAAAAAAATTAAAAAATTTTATTTTTTTTACTAAAATTGCACACCTAAGGATGATAGATTTGATAAAATTAAATATTTGACATAAAATATATATTAATTATTTAAAAATATACATATAATAAAAATATAAAAATATATGTTTTGAACATGTCCCCAACGTCTCTTGCATTTTTTAAAAATTTACGTGTCCGCATGTCCGTGTTGTGTCACGTGTCCGTGTCCGTGTCCGTGCTTTTTAGTTGAAAAATAACAAATTAGAAAGGCACGTTTTGTATACGAAAAAGATTTTCCAGATGGACATAGGCCTATGAAAGGGCTTTATGTTTAAGAGAGTCAAGTTTAACATGTGACAGTATTGTTCACAAGACAACCAGGAGACTGAGTTATAGTGTTCCTCGACAAATTGAAATCCATAGTTAAGTGTAAAAATATATGTATTATTTTTTTTTGCCTAACCGGTCGACCAGCCGGTCGACCACTAAAAGGTTCAAAAAATTCAAAAAAAAATCAAAAAAAAAAAAAAAATTTCGCTTAACCGGTCGACCAACCGGTTGTCCCTGGCACAAATTTGATGAAAGTGCACCATTGGAGCGAGTGGTATCAAATTTGGTAAAATTGGTCATTTTTTACTCAAATTTGATGAAAAATCTGATTCACCGTTGGAGATGCTCTAAGGATGATAAATTTGATAAAATTAAATATTTGACATAAAATATATATTAATTATTTAAAAATATATATATAATAAAAATATAAAAATATATGTTTTGAACATGTTCCAAACGTCTCTTGCATTTTTTTAAAATTTACGTGTCCGCATGTCCGTGTTGTGTCACATGTCCATGTCCGTGTCCGTGTCCGTGTCCGTGCTTTTTAGTTGAAGAATAACAAATTAGAAAGGCACGTTTTGTATACGAAAAAGATTTTCCAGATGAACATAGGCCTATGAAAGGGCTTTATGTTTAAGAGAGTCAAGTTTAACATGTGACAGTATTGTTCACAAGATAACCAGGAGACTGAGTTATAGTGTTCCTTGACAAATTGAAATCCATAGTTAAGGGGCAAAGAAAGCAATAGCATACTGAAGAAAAACCAAATGCATGGAATAAGAAGGAGCATAACCATGAAACCCCTACCATTTATCTCCTGTGGTTGTTCTTCATATAACCCAGCTTCTGTCCAATATTTTGTGAAGTTTTTCTTCACCCGCTTCATAAGCTCCGAAATATGATGACCTTCACCATTGTACTTAGAACAGTTTTCCCAAACATATTGCACATCCCCGAAGACATCCTTTGAATTCTTGTACCTCACACCATTTTCAAGATTCTTACATATTGTACCAAAATCCATAGGTGTATCAATGACATCAAAATAATCCTGGTTCCAGTCGCGCCCAAAAAAAAAGAAAAAAAATCAAACAAACAAACAAAATTAAATTAAATTAAATTTTAGCCTATATAATAAAATAAGTTTGACAAAGACTGAAAGAACGTATAAGTTTTTCATAATTTAATACACAGCAACAATAATCTAAGTATTCGTTTACTTGCATTTCAAGATTTCCGGCAAAACATTAGCATATTATTTGCAAAATACCAGCAATATACTTTCTACAAAATTAATATTAATGAAAAGCAATTGCTAGTAAACGAAAGAAGGGAGACTACACTTCTAGTTATATATAAACAACACATGAATTAGTCTCCCAAGCAATAAACTCCAACTCTTTTTAAGAACTAACCTACCCTAAGAGTCTATACAAGAATCATCAATCCCAGAAACCTAAAATTAGGAAATTTCTCTCCTCCCAAACATTTGCATTCAAATACTTAGTATTTCCATAGCCATGAACATAAAGTTAAGCAGACCGCTCGTAGACGAATACACCTATGAAGAAAGGAAAATACTTACATGTATTCCCAGTGCGATAGGATCCACTGGAAGATTGAAGGGCCGAGCTGAATCCATTTTCATAACTTTCCTAATCACCTATGAGGGGATCAAATCATTCATTAATAATTAAGTAAAAATGCAGCAAGCATGCTTCAAATATATCTCATGAAGGGAAATTGAATCTCGTGCTTACTTGACCAGTGTCATCTAATCTACATTATATATATGGACATTAGTTGCATATCAACAACATACCGCAAGTGCAGCTTTTAATTCTTGCTCTTTGTAGAGAGGATCTTGAAGAGGTGATTTTGGATCCTTTTGATGTGTCCTCCTCCCACCCTGCACTAGTTCTGTTTCACTATTTGCCTTTATACTTGAAGCAGCAGAGCCCCTTGACGACTTAGGTAACTTTGGATCCTTTTGGTATGTCCTCCCACCCTGCACCACTTCTGTATCATTACGTGGCTTTATACTTGAAGTAGCAAGGCCCCTTGATGACTTAGTAATTTTGCCCCTAGCATTCTTTAACAGATTAGCTGAAACAACAACATTCATTTCAGGAAATGAGTTCATATTTACTATCTCCCTATGAAGCACGGACACCTCTCCAGAGGTCACATAAAGGTGTCTGACACGTGTCAGACAGGGACACGCGCCGGACACGTGTCGGACACGCTAAAAAAAGTTGGACACGCTATGGACACGTTAGGACATGCTGAGGACACGCAAGGGACACGTTGAGGACACGTTAGGGACACGATGAGTACTATTTTTTTCAAAAACAATTAAAATTTTAAATTTTTTTACTAAAATAGCATACCTAAGGTTGATAAATTTGATAAAATTAAATATTTGACATAAAATATATATTAAATATTTAAAAATATACATATAATAAAAATATAAAAACATATGTTTTGAACTTGTCCCTAACGTGTCGTGTCCTGCATTTTTTGAAAATTTATGTGTCCGTATGTCCATGTGTCCGTGTCGTGTCATGTGTATGTGTCCGTTCTTCTTAGCTATCTACCATTGTCACATTGACTACTAATTTTTGTAACCTGTATGCTGCCTGCTCTCACTGTTGCCGTTCTGTGGTGCATCAGTCTCAATTCTTGTATTACTACTTGGCTTTATACTTGAAGCAACAAGGCCCCCTGACGATTTAGTCATTTTGCTCCTAGCATTCCTGGACAGATTAGCTGAAACAACAATATTCTTTTCAGGAAATGAGTTCATACTATCTAGCATTGTTAGGTCGACTACAACTAATTTTTGTAAACCTGTTTGCTGCCTGCTCTCATTGCTGCCATTCTGTGGTGCGTCAGTCTCCATTCTTGAGTACAATTCAGCATTGTCATAATCATCCAGAAAAGAGACATCATGAGTATTTAGCGTGACTGCATTTAGAAATCCCTCCTTTGCACCCACCATTGGGGTCATTTTTGGTTTGCGTTTCCCACCACTACGCTTGCGCTTCATTATCTTGCTACTTAGAAGATTGGATAATGAAGTTTCTTTTGTTGCAGAAGCTTCCCAAACCGGAGTTAGAGAAAACTTGGTTCGGATCCTTGGCCTCTTCAAACTATCAATCGTGCAAAGTGACAGTCAGCATACACTCTCCACAAGCAAGACAACTTACAGCATGCAAGGATGTAGCAAAGCAAAATAAAGCTGATAATTAGTCCAAACGATTGACAGTGCAAAATTGTCTTGCAGTAATCACTTTTGAAATGTGTCACAAACTAGCATTACAAGAAAAGAAAAGAGAAGAGAAAAAGCACATGCATCAGCAGGCCAATTGTTACTTAAACCACTCCAGTTTAGTCAAATCTTATGTTACCTAGAACATTGATAACGGGAATGTAATATGCTACATGCTCTAAAATGTGGTGCAATAGAAGTAAACTTGTATAGATTATTACATCATTAGAATTTGAAGTACCTCTAGAGAGATTACATCATTAGATTCCATCCCACTTCACAATTCATTAATCCATCATAAACCATCACATCTCCAGCCTCAAATCAAAGATAAATATATCAAGAATGGTCAAATACTGTGAATTACTGAGAGGCTAAAGTATATACAATAATTTTTTTATTATTTTGTAACCCCACAACAATAATTAACTTAATTTCATTTGTTATTAAATAAGAATAATAGGTCTCTCAAATAAGTATATGTATACTTCACAAGCATTCTACTCACGGAAACCACCTGTCTAAGTCAACAGACAACAAACTAAAATTTCATAATAATCGGAGCAGGCTTAACCGTTGATCTCACAAGAAAATGGTCACTTAACTTAGTTTGATTACTTATCCAAAAAAAGAAAAAGAAAATGGTCACTTAACTCCCTATCATCACCCTATCTGGATCATAATTCTAAACTCAAAATATGTACAACACAACTCCCCTTCACTGAACACCAGGGCAGTCACAATGGGAGTAGGAAAAACCATAACCAAAGGCCCAAACAGTGGCCACCCATAGCCTTCAAGGCACCACCATTGACCTCTCCTGTCTCTCACTCCCATGGTTGTCCATAGCATGCAACCATAATTGTCAAATCGGGATTGGAATCGTGAATTGTAAGGATTTTGTCACTTTCTCTAAATCACTTAGAAAAAAATGTTTACGCTCATACTTAGAATGTTAAATATATCTTATAAATATGAAATATTTAGACTTAAATCAATGAAAATGGTTTTTTGAATGATGATCATGTGGTGTAACAGGTAAAACTATGTAAGATCACCATTACCTTTTCCCTTTTTTAGATATTTCTTATCAACCATTTTTAATAAATAAAGCAAATAAAAACAATACTCTCAAAATTCAAGTAACAATAATTTAACAACGGCGTTGATATTTAGACAATAAACATACATATATTTCCAAGTAACAATGAACCAATAATAAGAAAGATTTAATTGGAATCCTTTATTTTAAAACCTAAAACACTGTAAATAGTAAGTATGCATATTATTCAAAAAATAATTTTTTTATTATTATTTTAAAAAAGAATTTGTGGAACCATTAGATTTAACTGACATCACCCATGGAATATTAAACTATATTTATTTCAATAAAATATTAAAAGATAATTCATGATGTAAGTTAATTTGACTTTAAACATCTTTTAAAAAATATATATCATGATAATTTTTTTAAGAAAAAAAAAAATGAGAAGAAAATATTAAAACATATGGGATCTAACTGAATCTAATTGGGTCCTATTAAAAGGTCCTATACCACCATAATAACAACAAATCATGTATATATATTGGTTATTTTCTTATTAAATATTATTAAAAGTTCTATTATGTCATTTTCACTATAAAGAGGGAGGGGAAAAAATCGAAATACGTCAAACACAATAGTTTCAAAAATTGAATCGAAAGAGGTTGGCTGGTGGCAAGGCCTTGGGTCTTGGGGGTGTCCTCATCCAAAGTTCAAGGATTGGAACCTCTTAAGTGCTAACAATTCCTTAGGGCCATCGGACTGAGGGGAAAACCCTTGAACTAACCATGGTACACTTGCAAGAAACTCCTTGTCGAGGGCCTGTGCACTCCTGGGGATTAGTCCGACTATGATTTGGACACCCTAGTGCCAATATAAAAAAAAAAAAATAGATTTACCGATAGATTTGTGTCAATTTTGCATAAATTGATAATCGAATCGTGATTCACTATAGATTCACTCCTAAAATAGATTTACCTATAACTTTGTATCACTTTTGCATAATTGCAAATCGAATCGTGAATCGAATCGCACATCGTAAGATTCTGATAACAGTGCCTGCAACCCATTCAACGGCCACACAATCTTCGGCACACCAAACGCAAAACTTTGACTAAAGAATTTAATACAGAGCATACATATAAATATAAATTGTATAAAAAACATTCGTAAATATGTACAACTTATTTCCCTTCATCCTAACTCAAAATCACCAGAAAAACAAAGGTCATCGAAAATCCATTGCTAGGAAGTTCCTCTCGCCACCGTTGTCACTAATTTTTGCTGCTAGAAGCCATCGTCGGAACCTCTCTGTTCAGTGCAATTTCTCACCCTCTCAAACTCTCTCAGCTCTCTCTCTAACAACTGGAAATGAAGGAAAGAAAACAAGGAGGCAACCCTAGCTGTTGTAGAAATGATGTATATTGTAAAAAAAAAATAGATGTATTATTGATTGATGTTGATTGATTATTGTACATTTTGTATATTACAAGGATGTATTATATAGGAGAAGTTTTGGGAGTAGGTGAAGGTGGTAGTGGTAGGTGTAGGTGGAGTGTGTGATAGTGGAGGTGGTAGGTGGAGATAAATTCTAACAGCCCCCCGCAAACTCAAGGAGGATAGAAACTAACCAACTTGAGTTTGGAGAGAGTTACAAAACAAGAAAATACATAAAAATAAAAGAGGATAAGAGACACTGTATGGTCGTGTCAGACCATTGGTGAAGACACTGGATGGTGGTGTCATAACGTTGTAGAGGACACTGTACGGAATGGCGTAGAACGACTTCCACCTCAAGAGAAGGAGGTATGAGCTGGCAACTCTCCCTTCTCTTCACGTTGTTGCCATTGTTGACACTCACCCTCACCATTAAAGAATGTAGAAATTGTGTGGGTTTGTTTCCTCTCTCTCTCTCTCTCTCTCACATCTTTGTGTACAAATAGAGACGGGAGGGAGAAGATGAATGTATCAGAAAAAGGAAGAGTTGTGAGAAGTTTATGAGAGCTTTGAGTTGAGTAGAGAGAGTGAGATACTCCTCCTCCTCCGTTTTGTATTTTTGCTCTGTTTTAGTGAAAATTCTCATTTCTGCTCCGTAGACGTAGGCATTGGACCGAACCGGTATTCACAAAAGCCCTCT